AGACGGAATCCTTGCTTCATTTTCCCAAGTAGCTACATGGTATGGAACTATATAATATTCAGTATTATATATAATACTGAATCCTACTGAGGTTGGAATTTTTCTGTATGAGACACTGCACAGTCAAACTGTTGGTCTCTGTCCTAGATAGATGAGATACAGGATCAAGATAGAAAAGAAGCATTGTCCATGCTTTACACATGAGGGACTGAGTGGTTAGGTTGCAAGGGGCTGAAAAATAAGACTCTGGCCCAGATGTGAATTTTAAGCATATCTTAGGAGAGGTGATCTCATGCTTACATGATCATTCTTTCTCTCATCATACAGTGTGGAGAAATTGTTATCTTCACTGTTATCTTAAAGACAAAGGTTATCTTGAAGGCTGGGTTGAATGAGGCTTTGAGCAACCTGTCTAGGGGAAGGTGTCCCTGCCCGGGGCAGGGGTTGGAGCTGGGGGAGCTTTAAGGTCCCTTCCAACACAAACCAGTCTGTTTTCTGTGATTATAACAGGATCTGTTTAACAGACACAACTAAAGAGTTTTTCCAGGCTAAATGCCAAAAGTCTCACAAAGTCTGGGACATGCTTTGTATTTCCTGCAGTGTGATTAACAGTTAATTGGTTGATGAGAAACTCGACATGAGCAGGCAGTGCGTGTTTGCAGCCCAGAAAGCCAACCATATCCTGGGCTGTATCAAAAGAAGCGTGACCAGCAGGTCAAAGGAGGTGATCCTGCCCCTCTGCTCTGCTCTCGTGAGACCTCACTTGGAGTAATGTGTCCAGTTCTGGTGTCCTCAACATAAAAAGGACATGGAGCTGTTGGAGCAAGTCCAGAGGAGGCCACGAGGATGATAAGACGACTGGAGCAGCTCCCGTAAGGAGTCAGGCTGAGAACGTTGGGGCTGTTCAGCCTGGAGAAGAGAAGCTGCTGGAGACCTCAGAGCAGCTTCCAGTGTCTGAAGGGGGCCTACAAGGATGCTGGGGAGGGACTCTTCATTAGGGACTGGAGTGGTAGGACACGGGGTAATGGCTTTAAACAGGGGAACTTTAGGTTAGATCTAAGGAAGAAGTTCTTCCCAGTGAGGGTGCTGAGGCACTGGAATGGGTTGCCAAAGGAAGTTGTGAATGCTCCAACCATGGAGGTGTTCAAGGCCAGGCTGGACAGAGCCTTGGGTGACATAGTTTAGTGTGTGGTGTCCCTGCTCATGGCAGGGGGGTTGGAACTAGATGATCTTAAGGTCCTTTCCAACCCAAACCATTCTATGATTCTATGATAATAGTAACTGGTTTGGGTAAGTTAATGTCAAAATTTCACAGCAAGTGTTTCATCCTATTGCCTATCAAGACACTAGGAGTTTCTCCCTGGCCAGTCACTAGCAAATATTTAATCATCTACCAAATATTTAATCACCTTCACAAACAGAAAATCAAATCCTATTTCAAGACTGACTTTGTACAACTTCAGCTCCCAGTGACTGCATCTCGTTACACCTTTGGCATCAGTTGTGAAGCTCTGACATTCTGAGCTCCTGGTTTTTATTCTCCCAAGTAACTGAAAATCATCTTATTTAGTTTAATATAATTATTGAGTTTAAACATACAGCAAGAGTTGCCCCAACAAGATCCCACCTCTCTGACTGCTACCTGTAGTTATCTGACAGATGTTTCAGAGGAGCTGAAGTAAAAGCCCAGCCTAAGATACACAATTGCATTGTTGTGATCTATGCAAAGTCCAATCCCATTTGCATTGTTCCCCAGGGAATATCACCACTCACAATGGGATTATCCATGGAAGTGATGCAAACAGGATTTCACCACATTCCTCAACAGTTACTGGTTACTCCCTCCAAACCCTTGTGCTCAAAGGCAGCCCAGTTTGAGCTGTCAGCTCAGGATGTCTTTGAATACTCACAGAGGAGTCCGTGGGCAGGTCTGTGTCCCACTTCCTGCCCTTGAAATCCCCTCCCCTGTTCCATCGGAATGAACTCATGCATCCTCCTTGGGACAGCTCTGAAAGCAACAGGATTCAGTTAAAGGAGATTCAAAGTGTATGAGAGCAGTAGCTGGTGGTAATTTCAGAGGCTTCATGTATGTTTCCAGTGTACAAAATCAGAAACATTCAACTAATTAAATGCTTGTAAAGACATGGCCCAGCAGCATGTGCTTGAGCCCAGAACCCCCCCCGTGTGCTGGATGCACCCCCAGAGCGTGAGCAGCAGCTCAGGGAGGGGATCCTGCACCTCTGCTGCGCTCTGGGGAGACCCCCCCTGCAGCCCTGATCCAGCTCTGGGGAACAGCACAAGAGGGACGTGGAGCTGCTGGAGGGAGGCCAGAGGAGGCCCCGGAGCTGCTGCGAGGGCTGGAGCAGCTCTGCTCTGGAGCCAGGCTGAGAGAGCTGGGCTGGGGCAGCTGGAGAAGAGAAGGCTCCTGAAGGGGACACCTTAGAGCAGCTCCAGTGCCTAAAGGGGCTCCAGGAAACCTGGAGAGGGGCTTTGGACAAGGGATGTAGGGACAGGACAAGGGGAATGGCTTGAACCTGCCCGCGGGGAGGCTGAGATGGGCTCTTGGGT